GAAAACAATTCTGTTGAAACAGTTATAGCAGAAAACGGTAACAAATTCCTTATTCCTATGTCGAATCTCTGCACAAAACAACATAACCTACTTTGACTGTGTTAATATATATTTTGCAGTCCCTGCCGTGCGCCAGGAAGTGACGTGTTCAACTTTACCAGTAAACACACTGTATTTTTAAATTAACTGGTAATTCCTGTTTGCCCAACGAAAGCATCCCTTTCGTAAATGAGAAGCCATTGTATCTTAACTATCTAAGTAGCTTTAAAGTAAACAATGCGAAGCTGTACGGGGCATTTCAAGTGTTAGGAAGGAGTTTCCGTTTCCTCCTACCAAGAGCTTCTTGCAAACAGACAAGCTGAAGTACACAAGAGCGGTGTCAATGATGTCAACCTCTCACAGGACTCGAGAGGAAGAGAACTGTGACGCTGTGTCACCTGAGACCGCCCGAAGAGGGCCCCTGTTGAGTGGGACAGGAACAGCTTCTATGTCAGCTTGAAGCCACGCTTGTTCTAGGGCTGTAAGACGTAAGTTTATCTTTCGTGCGTTACGTTTGGTTTGTCAAGCGTGCGTTGAGAGCGTCGGATTAAAGGTAAAGATAAAGACGAGAACTACACAGAAAGAAACCTGAAAAGAAGAAATTATTTGGGAGACCTAAACGTAGATGGAAAAATGATATTAAAACCAATCTTTAAGAAACAGAATATGAAGGTCAAAACTGGATTCATCTGGCTAAGCCTATGGTCGAGTGATGAGATTCTGAGAGCACAATAAAGACTTTCATGTTCCATAAAAGACGGGTGATTTCTTGATCAGCCGAAAAACCATAAGTTTGTCAAAAAGATTCTACTCTATTTAATTAATCCTAAGTCGTACCACAATACTTATAAATCTCATTTCACTTGCTTGAAGTCTGCTTTTGAATCCGTTCCTTTATCATCTAAGTATCACTTCTGTACATTAATTAAGCGTCTTCCGTTTCTCTTCTATCCACTATAATACATTTTAGCTCATTGTGAAAAATGGGAATATAATCACCAAATTTCTTCCTCATACCTAATACCGTGAAGCCGTATTTCTTAACAAAATTATAACGTCTGTCGCTTTCCGTTAAAACCTTCAAACTACGTACAGAGAAATTCTGTTTCATTAACACTACATACTTAATGGCATAATGGCTGCTGTTCGAACAAAGGACTCAATCATAGTTTGTTCGGGACACGAACTCAGCACCATGATGTAGGCGAGGTAACATTGTGGACATAATTCTAGGTATAATAGCTCTCAACGAGCTAACAGTAAGGCTTTCAGATCAACTGCCAAACATAACATGTAATCAGAGCGGCATTTGATTTGCTTTACATTAAATCAGTGCTTGGCTACGTTTTGACCAATCAGTAGCGGTTTCTTCAGGTGACATGAATTTCAACAGCATGGACCAAATTCTCGGCGTATTCAGGTTACGAGAATTAAAACAAACTGATAAACACGACAAGTTGAGCAACTATTAGCTTTTCCAAAGGGCCATGCTCCATGGAGTTTAGTTCTACGGAAAGGGTCAAAGGCATACTCGGCTGCTAGACGCTCGATTCTCAAAGCTGAAGACCTGGTTCAATCCAGAGCGACTTCAAGCGAGGCTCGTGATGGATTAATTGGCAATGCAGCATGGTTTTCTGTAAGCTCTTCGGTTTCCCCTGCTAATAATCATTCGAAAATTGCTCCACACTCATCTATCGTCGCCCCAAGAAACGCGTTGTCACGCCCTCGGTCCAAAGTTAGGGGCTTCGTCTCTGACCTGGCATTTGGCTGGTCTCGTAATAAAGATAGTGCTG